ATGTGATGAAAGAAATTTTTGGTCCAACAAGTAGTCCCAGTAAGAAAATTTATGTAATTCTCCAAAAACTATGACCGCAGATTTACAAAGATAACAAACTTGAGGGAATTGTAAACAAACTGAAGGAAATTGTAAACTTTAACTGATCTCAAGTTGCTTTTAGACCCGACTCATTACTGTTCAAACTTGCCTGGTTACTAAAGAGTTAGTAACCAGGCAAGTTTGAACAGCAATGTTCAAACTTGCCTGGTTAAATGAACTGTATCACAACTCTTCATAAGAATACTTTTCAGAAAGGTATCTTCGTGAAAGTGTCTTTGTGAGCTTCTGGTATTTTTTCTAGGAGTTGAGTTCTCGAACTTTTCATTTAAACACCCATAAGCTCATCATGAAGCAAGATTTATGGCTGACTGTATATACTTATCGTTATTCAGATGACTCAAATGTACCACCCAGCTAATTCTGAGACAGTTAGAAAAAATGCAATACCATACGAGTATTCCCCATCAAATTGAGGGCTGGGAGGGGGTCAAACTTTTTATTGTTCATAATTTTTGAACGCTAAAAAAATTTTGTATCAATTTTAAATTTTATTGATGAATATAGATTTAGTTGAGAATAGTAAAAGAGTAATGTAAAAAATGTAACTTGTTAAAATTACACAATTAAAAATAATGTATCAACTTGTTGCTCTCACGTTTGGGGCAGATGTAACCAAAATTTTAGAACTTTTTTGTTCCCAGGCTCCAATAATTGCAATTTTTTGCAAAGCACCCTTATTTGACATAAGTATAAACATATAAATGTTTGGAGTTTGATCTATGTCTGGAAGTTAACTTTCTCAAACGTTAAAAAATGCTGTAACCGCGCATGCTTTCTTAAAATTATTTGCTAAAATGTCAATTGTTATAAACGGAAACAAATTTCTCTTTAAAATTTATAATTTATTTTGTAAAAAAAATTTACTTTAAGATTTTACGACAAGTAGATTTATTTGTTTGACACCCACCATTGATTTTTTTGTTTATTTAGGTAACAATTGTAATCTGAATAATATGAACTCATTTTTAATTAAAACTTTACTTAAAAGTAAATTAACCTAAATAACCTTTCGCTTTAGCTAGAATCTTTAATTTTGTTGTATTTATCGACAAAATGTATCTATTTTTGATACACCCTGGCATACATGTAGCAGGAATGTGTGAGGAAAGTTGGAAGTGGCTGAAAAATCCAACAATCCAAAAATAAGAACCAAAACAACTAAACTGACAGAACAAACTAAAAAATTTCCGTTTTTGGTTACTTTAGCCATCTGGTACAATTTATTGACTCAAATGTTTATTTTTGCAAATTGATGCAATAAAAATCATGCAATTTGACAGTGCACTGGAATGAATAAAAAGTGCAACCAAACTTATGGGAAAAAAAAAGGAATCTGGTCAAATTTTAGCTAAAAATGTTTTGTTAGACCATACAATTCTGTTGTTAAACTATACACTTTGAACAAATGGAAAGTCACTTTGGTCTTTTTGGATTTCTGCACAATATCAGAGTTCAAAAAAAATTCAGAGTTCCACCAAAATAATTCGATGAAATATGTGGATTTAAATATTGATTTAACAGATGCATCTGGTTTAGATGTTCCAAATGATTTATGCAAAGAATAACAGTTATTTTCCATGATTGTTCCAGATACCATATCTCTTCTAATGATGCTTTACGTTTTATTTATGATCGTAGATTAAATACTGCCATTCTAAATGTTGCCCTACTTATAGCTATGACATTTCCGATGCTGTATGGGTGAAAAAAAAAATTCTATGTTGATATTTATCAAAGTCTATTGAAAACAAATATGCAAGAACGCCTGAACAGTTTGACAATGATGTCTATTAATAAATAATTTAATTTGAGTAGTGTAAATTATTTCTTGTGGACGATATAAATTGAAAAGGTAAAAAAAAATTTTAATATTTTTATTTGTTGCTAAAAGATCTTTATTTTTTTTTACCATACTTTCTAAGAGTTTTATCGTTATTAAATTACTTAATAACTTTTGTTGTGAAATTATAAAATTTTGTTTTGAATTGTGATAAACTGTTGCCATTAGATGGTATTAGAAAAACAGAATAGTAATCAAGATATATAGTGGCTTTCTTTATCTACTGGACGGCTTAAATTGTTTTTTTTTAGCCTTTTTACCGGTATCTAATTATTAATTTGATCATAAGTTTTGTAATGCTTTCCAAAAAAATATGACTAAACTTATAAAAAAATATGACTAAACTTATAAACCAGTTTCTAGTTTTTTAAATATAAAACTTCTAATTAACTATTGAGTAAAAAAGTAATGAAAAAGCTTTTAATTATTTTTCTAATTACGTTGCATTTTTTTGTAGTATTATAAATAGCACTAACATATATTATTATTCTTTATTTATGTTAGGCATTTTTAGCATTTTTTTTAATCGTTATTAAGTTATTAAGTAATTTACTACTATATATAAATTGTAATAATTCTAACTAGCACTTTTAAAAATTACTATTACTTATTTGTTCTGAAATAAATAGTAGTAAAATTTACTATTTAATAGTATATAAAGGTTATTATAGTGTTAATATATAAAGATTGTAATATTATTAATATTATAAAGGTTATTAATATCCATATATATACCAAACCAGTGGGCAATGGACCAAAAAAAGACGTCTTTTGAACGTTCAAAAGACGTCCAAAACTTTCCAAAGACGTTCAAAAGACGTCCATAACGTATATAAGACGTTTTAAGACGTCTTTTTTACGTCCGTGCCCACTGGGAAGTAATTTAAAAGTATATTATTTATTGAATTTAAATCTTTTTTTTCTGTTTGCAAATTGAATAAAACTTATACTAAAAAATGAAAAATATTTCGATTTCTATTACGAGGCTGTTACAAGAGCGCATCTAACTTGTTCTGTTTATGATGAACTATGGCTGTTACAAGAACGCAGCAGACTTGTTCTGTTTATGGCATCAAATGTGAACTTTCTTCTCGCAAACTTCCAACTGTTAAAGAAATTATGCAGCACTATTCTTTTATTAAACTACAACTTCCCAGGTCAAGTACAATAGTTTCTAGAATTTCTGAAAATTTTACCAACATTTGGTTAAAACTTGTTATTTCAGCTCTTACAATGCATAGGGTGCAGCAGAAAGTAAAATCTATGCATGATAGTTTGACAATTGTTTTTAAAAGTAAAGGTGAATTAAAGACTTCTGCAGTATCAATTGCTAAGATGAAAGGTTAAGTTTTGTTTGACATTAAAGCATGTTATTGTCTTAATATAAGTCATTGCTCAAAAAAACCGAAAAGTGTCAGTACTTGAGCATGAATTTTTAAAGAATCAAAGAAATTATATAAATAGGATTATTGGTCCTTTAGATAAAGAAAGTACTTTTATATTAACTAAATATTTTGAGAGAAGTTCAAAGAGAAATAAATACTACGATTTTTTTTCGTCAAGTAAAAGCAGTTTAAAAGCATCAGTTAATATCATTTCTCATGTAGAAATTAACTCTGGAGATTAGGAGTTTAAAAATGACACTCAGATCTATGGAGATCAATTGTAAAATTTCTGTGAATTAGATATTAAATTTGGCAGAATTTTGATAAAGTTTCCAAAAGTTGCAAATAATATGAGGGATATGGTGTATAAGATACTGCCGTAGTTGCCATTGTTTCTGTCACACTTTCAGATTACAAAAATATAAAGAAGCATGACAGAAAAGCTACCATAGACTAAGCCAAGTTAAAGCGTCAAATACATTTGTTTAGAACTACACTACCACACAATGCAAAGTTAGCTATGTGTCCAGTAGGTTCAAAATTAATTTATGATATTGTGTTAACTATAGGTGCTGATGGAGCAAACATAAATGCTGGTGTGAACAATGGTGTAATAAGATAACTGGAACTGCTTTTTGGATATCCAGTTTAAAGGTTAGTGTGTATTATCCATTTTAATCATCTACCATTGAGACATTTAGTATTGCGTTAAGAAGACATCACATCTGAATTTGCTGCGTTTAGTGGCAACATTGGAAAATCACTTACAAAGTGTTACAAGTTGCCATTCGTCAAATTTGATGTTAGACAGGATAACCTACTGAGTGTACTACATGATGTTGTGACAAATAATGTTAGTAAAAATCAACATTACATTTACACCATGTGCAATTCAAAGTTCCTCTTCTAAACTTTTGTGCAGCTGAATACCATAATCTTTTAAATTGGAAGGAACAAGAACCGAGGACTTCACCACCTATGTTAAAAATGATGATTTAATTGAAAATGCAATACAAATTATGCAAGAACTAACTTTAGATGATTTGATCTGTTCCATTCTCAAAGTGAAAAAAGACATGTTAATTTGGTTATAGAATCAGCAACCGTATTAAAATAAATAAGAGGAAACAGATATAATAAAGCAAAACTTTTATCTATAAAGTATATTTCACAATATGCTTCAAAAAATATTAGGAATAAGTAGGAATAATTTATCAATAAACTCCAGAGAAATTTTCCCATTAAGTACAATTAAAAGTAAATATATAACGGCATTTATAAAACTTTGTATTGGTCATAAGAAATGAAGAGATTCTAGCGCTAACCTAATTGCACTACTGTGTAAAATTTTGAGTTTTAAAGCGAATCTTTTTAGTTTAGTTTTTAAAAAAGGCTAAAAAGATTGCTTTAAAAGAAAAACAACATAATTATTTTTTTCTTCAGAAAAAAAGTGGAGGAGCATGTGCCCCCCCCCCTCCCTTCAGGTGTCGCCGGCTCTGAAACTAGCATGTGCGGTTTGCCAACCGCAGATATACTAACCCTGGCAAAAGAGCAACCAAGAGCAAATTGTTAGAGTTATGGTTTAGCAGTCAAAAAGTGGTTTGATGTTTACTCTGGCCATAAAAGTAATACAATTTATATCCAGTCAAATAATTGAATAAAAATACTCTTACCTAAGAGTAAAAAATTCTTAAAAACTTCAATAACCATATTGTATTTATATGAGTGAGTTTAAACCCAGTTATAACAGTTATTCTAAAAGTAAAAACTTGTTTATTTATTTTTTAAGTTTAAACAAATCACATTGTTTCATTTTTAAAAAACATTTTATTTCCAAAAATTTATTAAATAAAATATCCATTTAGTAAAAATGTTCAGTTCTTTTGTCGGTTACTTTTTTGTTCATTTTCAAAAAAAGTTGTACGGTGCAAGTTTTTTGTATTACTTTAAACTTTTAAACTCGGTTGTCATAGTAATTTCGTCGTAATCATGAATAAAATTATTAAGTTCAATTGAATAACAATTTTATATTTATTATTAATAGTGGTCTTCTAGTAAAAAAAAATGCTATATTTATTTTTAAAAAATGATGTTTTTGTTTTTTTAATGAATATTAAAAATAAAAGAGTTATAAAAATTATTATACTTTCACATGTTTTTTTTTTTTAATTAAATTTACAATAATTTACTTTCTTAAAATCATGTATAAAATTTCTTTTATAGTAACGTCACTAATGTTCGTTGGCCCAAAAATAAAAACAAAACTCAAACATAAATTGGAGACCCTCAAACATAAAGGAGACCTAATAAATTTGGTTATTAAAAAAAAACTTTTTTTTTAATTTTAAAATTTAATTCATTTTTATATTTATAATTTTGAGGAATTTTGTTTGAAGAAGGATCGAGTTTTAAAATGAATATAATTAAACCTCAAACTATCAAACTGTTTCTTTAAACTAAAAAAACTGAAAATTTGTAAAGATACATCTATTTAAAGATTGAAGTGCCTAATTTAAGTGCTTAAATATATTTATATATATTTAAATATGTGTTTATATTTATATATCAGTTATCAAGATACAGGTGAAAGTATTCGGTAGAGCTGTTGAAATTCGTGAAAATACCTACCCGGGTACACGTCGAAGGAACGGGCGGGTACTCGGGTACCAGTTTAAAAAAAAAAAATGTTTATATAAAAGTTTATATTATATTATAAACAGTGAATAATTTTTTTTTTTTTACTTATATCTAAATTTTAAGTATGTTATTATTGCAATCGTTTTAAAAATATAATATAAAAGTAACAACAACCAACTTTAAAAAAAAAAAATCAATGAACGCTATTTTCTTATAACATTTTATTTGTTTTAGAATAAAGTTTTTAGTAAAAATTTTTGAAGTTTTAAGAAGTTGGATAATATGCTATGGGTCTAATATGCACAGTATTACCTGTTTCCTGATTAAAGGCTAAACATTACAATCTATACCCGACATCTGGGCAGTATTTAACTTTTTATGTAGTTAATACTCGAAATATTTTTGCTATCAACTGACCAGGTTCCGCTAACTTTTAAGCCAACAGGTATGTTTTTCAGTGTCATTGGTAGAGGAAATGCGTATTAATAGCGTATTATTACAATAATAATAGTCAAACAGCGTATTAATATAATATCTATAAGCGCATTTTAAACTAATTTTTTTTTAAATATCTATTTATTTAACTTCTAACAAATTATTAGTATATATAACCAAAACAGAACCAAATCAAAATCGAAAGTATGTTAATTATTGCTCATTATTGTAAATACATGTAGACTTTGAACAGAAAACTCATTTTTTAGGTTTGAGTAAAGTTGGTACTGTTGATGTACTTATATAAACAACTTAAAGAGATATACATGTGGATATATATTTCAGCAAGGTAACTCAAAATACAAGAATCCAAAAGATCAAGATAATAAAAGCGCAAGAGGTACAAGCGTGTAAGAGATGCAAAACAAGAGAAGAGCTACAAGAAAGTTCAGCTTATGCAGCATGTGTTTAAATACTGTAATTTTGCGGGCATGCGCAATAAGCATAACTGGCTAGTGCGTGAGCGAACTAACGCAACACAAATAAATTTTTTGCTCGCAAATTAGTTAATCAATTTCATTTAAAATTTTCCTATTTTAAAATGTACTAAAAAGAAATTTCAAAATGTTCTGAAAAAAAAAATTTCAAAGTGTACTAAAAAAAAAAAATTTCAAAATGTACTCAAAAAAAATCTATTTTAAAAGTAATCGGTAGATACGACTATAACATCGACAACTTCATGAGGCATGTTTAAAATTAATGTTTAAAATTAAGTAAAACAATTAAGCAACCCAATTACAGGACCGTAAATTTTTTATTTGAGATAAGGAAATTTACAGAAACAAACTTTTTATGTTAACAATAAATGTGAAATAAGGATGCTTATAAAGAAAAAGACCACGTATTTTGGATGTTGGGAATAAAGAAAACGTTAAGTCTAGACCTCATCAACACCATACTCATTTTACGTTAGTTTGATCGTGCAAAAAAGCATTAATATAGTAAAGTATAAAAATACTATTACTCAAAGTTATCTGTCCATCTGGATCACTGCAATAACAGATTTATATCCCTGTAAATTTGTTTTCAACTGTAAATCAATTTCTACAAAATTAGAAAATAATTAAAAAAAGGAACAAGAAAAGCAGTGCTCACCTTATTCCGACATTCCTACTAAAGATTTGGAGATTTAAATTGTTACTACATTAAGCAATGACACAACATGTTGATTTTTTAGGGAGTAATCCGTAATAAATCTGAAGCTCCTAAATTTTATAGCCAGGGCTTTCATGGTTATGCTAGACAAAAAATGCATAACTTTTTAAGATTTACTAAAACTGCAATTTTCAATTTGCAGCTAAAGAGCACTAGTGTCTAAGGACTTTGCCGTCAATTAAACTTTCTTTAATATGCTAAGTACCTATAAATAAAATTTTTCTTTGAAATGTAAAGATTTAGATCAGATTGGTCATTTTACAGTCGGCTGAAAAGCTTCTCATCTGTTTATAAATTTAAGATTTAATTGTAGACAAGTTTAAGGTTCGTAAATTTATGAAATAAAAATCAGTAAAAAAACAAACCATCATGGTAAAAAAAAAAAAAAATATTCAAGATATGTTAAACATAGGTTTGAAAACTAAGGTTTATTAACTTAGATTCATCGTATTCAAAATTCGAATAATAAAAAATATTACACGATCATACAATTTTTCTGCACGAATTCACAATAACTATTTACAATATTGACAATTTGTTGAGTTAAGAAGTACACTTTGCAAAGTGACATTTACTAAGTCCTGAGATAATCAGAAATAACTCGCGATGTAATAAAAGGGAAAAACAATCTTAATCACCCATATACTTTGTTGCGATCTTTTCTTCCCATAAAGAAAAACACCCATTTTAATGTTCTGATTCGCTCGGAATGCTTTTTCATTTTACCTTGATATATTGATATCATTTAATAAACTTTCTGTATAATTGTAACACAAAACCCTAAGAGAGCTAAAACTGTTTAAGATTGTTTATTGAAGGTAAAGGCTGTTTGACGGTTTGTACATTATTACTAACGTCGTTGTTTAAAGTCGATAAAGATTGAATGTTTTGTATTAAAAAACCGTCTTGACCAGTAATTTCTGCAGGTTTAAGCATTCGTTGATATTGCTGCTGAGTCAGCAAAACTAATGTTTGCTGTAGTTGAACAATTAAAGCGTCTTTTTGTCTTGTTGATTGATTTAACTCATTTCGTAAATCTCGCAATTCTTCTCGCATAGCATCTATAAAAAAAATTCTAATATATAGGAAAAAAGACAATCAAAAACTATATATATATAATAGTTATATATATAAAAAACAAATCGTTGCAATAAAAAACAGCTGCATAATACCTACGAGACTTGTCAGCTTGTCTACCTTATCTTCTAACCTCGATGTCTCAGCTTTATATAAAAACAATTTAAACTGTTAATAATTTGAAAATTTTTCAGTTAATGATTTAAAAAATTATTAAGCGATACAAAACTGTGACTAAACTATAGAAAAATATTCCTTACCTAAAACGCTCATATTATTCTCATTGCTATGTTGTGTAACATTACTAATGTCATGGTGATCTTCAATAGATCCTGAAAATTAAACGAATTATAAACAAAATCAACTTTATAAGTAAATTTATAGCACATCTATATTTTTATCTTGAAGTACTTTAAAAGTAATCCAAGACAGTAATAATGATCTGTAACTATGAGTACAGTTTTTTCTGAACTATATTGAAATTTAGTAGTTGACAGTTTTGTATTAACCTCAAAAATTTAATTAAAAAGAAATGCAAAAGCTTTTTAAGATAGAAAAAACTTTTCAACTCTGCACACTTTGTTTTCATTAATACTATTGAGCCTGTCAAATACATCTTTATGTAAAGCGTTTTCAGGTGTTTAAGGTGTTGCTTCTTAATCATCTAGGATTTTTTTGATTTGAAATATATTTAACTAAAACTTCTAAGTTTTTAAAATTTCAACTTGGTAGCTCATTAACTATTATCTCAGTACTAGATGCCATGTTTAACTATCATCTTATTATTAGATGAAATATCATGATCAAAAATTTTGAGCCAAATGCAATATCATGATAAACTATTTTGAGCCAAATGCAATATCATGATCAAATATTTTGAGCCAAATGAGAAAACTAAATACTAGTACCAAGAAAACAATCATAAAAAAGAATTTAAAAAATATGTTGAGCCCATATAAAAAATATTGTGGTTTGTGAATAACCAAACTGCTTTACTAGTATTGCTAAAGTACTAACAAACTGTTTTATTTCAAACAAATAATTTTATTTTAATGAGCATGACTCATTATAGTAAAAGCAGAAGTTTTATTGAAAAGAAAGTTTGGGTTTTAAAAACAAAAGTTTAATGAAGCTTATTTAAGATGTAATTTGATTAACAAAACAATAAAAGAAAAAAACCTTGTCGAGTGTCTTCACCAAGTTTAACTACTTGTCGAGAATCAACTGCAAATTTAACATCAGTGTATGATTCTTCATCACAATCATCCACCTCACTTACATTGACTTCACTAAAATTTCCCTGAAAATCTTCAGCATCAAAAACAGGAAAGTCAACATGCTTGTCTGTGCGTAACCGAACTCCATAGATAAGCTGACCATCATGTGATTTTTTAATACTAACTCTAGGAAAAGCTCGTCGAAGAAGATCGATGCACTTTCTTCGATTATGGCATTGGACACCTTCTTTAATATACTGAAGTAGAGTGGCCGCCTTCTCAAAGTAGTCCATTGAAGCTGGCATTAAAACCTGCTGTAACCTAAAAATATGCATAACACAATAATTGTTTAACAACTTCAAATTTCTTAGGAGAAAAAACAATAGAGGAGACTTTTCTTTATTTATAATAATAAGTGCTTGGATGGAGCTATTTATCAAATTTTAAAATTCATTTCTAGGATGTATATTTGAAAATACTACTTTCTCAACTACCAATATCCAAAGGGATTATGTATCGATTAGAAAGCAAAACACTGTTGGTTTTATATTACAATCCTGAAAAGATGTAAAGCATGTATTCTGAACCATAAGTTAGTTATTATCAACAGAAGAAAACTATTAATAATTGTATGGAAGAAGACCCTACTGAAGTAGCCAATTAAGTATACAGCAAGACTAAATGTTTTAAAAGGCATAAAGAATCAGGATGATGGGAGAATGGTTGGAAAAGTAAAACTTTTTTCAGTGCAGTGAAAAAAGTAAAAGATTGCAAGTGAAGCAGTAGAATATGGGAGATGTAAAAAAAAATGCAGGTGGTAAATTTTGAAAAATTGTAAACTAAAGAGTTTGGATAAAAGATTACCTTTTGTAACTACAGAAAAATTACTAACTTTGTTGTAATTATGAAGCATGATCTATGCTAAAAGCAATAGTCTGTTAAAGTTGTAATGTAAATAGTTTCTATCAGTAAAATGACAGTTAAATGACATTCATCATAGATGGGTTTTTGAGCTGTTTAATTATAAAAAAAAGTTGTGTAAAAAAAGTTCACTAGTAAATTTAATATCAATAAATATATTACATTCATTGATAAAATTATATTTAAAAAGTATACAAAAGAAAAAAACACTATTACATAAAATATAATTACATAAAAATAAGGTATATTTTAAACCTTTGGGTAAAATAAGGGCTGCAGAGTACCAAGACCTATTTCATGCAGAAATTCATTTGTCAAAAATGTGACCAAACAAGTAAAAGCACTTTTGTCAAAAGTATAAAAAAATAAAAAAATATTAAAAAAAATATATATTATAAATATCCTAGATAACCTAATAAAAACCTGCTTGTGTCACACACGTGTCATATCAATCATGATAATGCTGCTCAAAACAACATGTTGACATGACAACCTAATGTTGTTAAAAATAATGCATAAAAGTCTTGAACTCAAAATTAAATTTATTTTAAACAACTTGGTTGCTTAAAAATGTTTTGCAATAACCTTTTTTTTTTTGCAATTTTAGATTTTTAATGATTATATATGTATGTCATATACTATGATTTATTATTTAATAATCAAGTTTTTTTTTAAAAATAAGAGGTGAGAGGATTGGGTTAAAAATAATTTGGAATTTCAAAATGGATAAAAGCTCAAAATAGTTTGACAAGCACTGCACTATCAATAACTTGCGATAATATTTTACCATTCAACTGACTTTTCCAACCAGAAATCTTTAGGCTTGTATGGATCTAATATCTCAACACCAATAACATAGCCGATGCCACCTCTTTTGCGATAGCGTACTGTGGGAAATGCCTTTCTGAGTTGCTTAAGCGCTGCTTTCTCTGTTGTATGCTCTCCATTCATTTTTGTTAACATTGAAGAAATATCATAAATTTTTTCACGATGAAGCAAACTAAGTTTTAGCACTTTTCGCAACCTTCAAAATAAAGAAAAAAAACAACTGCTAAATATTAAAATCACATATATAGTTAAGAGAATTTTGGACATTTAAAAAGAGGGGTTATGAATTTGCCCATCTATTTTTTCCAATAAAACTGACCCTGGTTTTACTCATACCCTCCTTAACTCCCTTTCCTCGTCACCCTTTTTTTTTCCACTCTCCTTTTATTTCTAAAATACTTAGTTGCCATTGTTTCAAAATGTTTATTAAATTACAACTGTTGCAACATCAATGATGGTATTATCCAAATTATACAAGAATTATTAATAATATATTTATAAATTATCCAAAGTTTATGAAGAAATTTAAGTAATACAATGCATGAATCTTTATCATAAAACAAAGACGTGCAACAACAACTACAAGAAATAAAAAATTAACACTGCACACACTCATTTTATAAATAAAGTCTGAAATATAAATTGAATATTAAACCCACAAAATATTAAACATTTTTCTTTATATAATATTATTTCTCTATAAAATATTCTGCACTTGAAAATAATTATATTAAATATATAAGTTTTAAAAAAAGAAAAAAAATATAAAAACTTAAAAAAAACTGATATCCAATCCTTACTAACAAGAGTGTTTACAAAATTGTCAAAAATATTATAATTTAAATTCTGTAACTTCTAAGCTGTAAATTTCAGAATTAAAATCCAATTTAATTAAAAATTTTAGATTGCGTTCAACATACTTTGATAAGTAATTTAACCAAGAAATGAAAAATGTATTAGTCAAGTGTAGAAATGAAAACAAAGTTAGCGATAAAACTATTTTACTTATTTCTCATATTTATAGAATTTTATAAATATTTTTATTTTTTAAATAATGCATAATTTATAATACTGTTTAAGTTATGCTAATTATAATTTTCAGTATTAATATGTTGTGACAAATATAGAACGACAAATTTATAACTTATTTAGAACAGTATTTTATATAGATTTCAGGCAAAAATTAATGAAAACATTTTTTTCTTAAACATCTTTTAATTTAAATGATTTTAATACAAGCTAAATCTGTTCCTGCTAAGCTCTAACATTTGTCACAAATTAAACAAAAACTGTTGTGTCATTTTTAAAGCTTGTGGAGCTTGCAATCCCTTCACTAGGTTTTTGCAATACTTTCACTATGCTAGGTAAACCTTCAATATAGGAATGGAATTTGAATTTGAATTCAAATATAAATGCTCTCAGATTCCACTTACATTTAAATCAAACCGAAATCAAAGCCAGATCAAAAATCTGTTTGTCAAAGAAATGAAAAATGAAAAAGGAACTTGATCTGAATCTCGAACGAATTTTTTTTTTTTTTTTTTCAAAAACTTGCTTTAATGCAAAATAATCAAAGAATCTTTACAATTAGATGCACGCCAACATAAAATTAAAAATTGCATTATCAAGCTTACATTACAGCTAACATTCAACACAAACAAATGTTGAAACATTATCATAAAAATATATAATATACACATTTTATACAAATCAGTAACACACCATAATAATGCTGTAGATGAGCGCTTGCTGAGCAAGAAAGACCCAACTATATCTATAGTAGTTTCATCTTATGTTATGCAGAAAATCTAAAATATATCTGCTTTGCCAAAACAATAAAAACCCAGAGAAATATGAAATACTTATGAGAAAAATTCTGCCAAGAAAGGTATGCAATAGAAACATATAAAAACTAACAAGCATTCTAGAATACTCAACTTGTCTTTCCACAGAATAGCCATAGTTGTATTTTTGAATCATTTGATTTAGTAGGGGTTGTAACAATTCGGATTTTAAATCCGGTCCTGCTTAAATAATGACTAGATTGATTTATGTTTGAGCAGGTTACAGGTTCAAATTATATGATCAAAAATATGTTTTTTGTTGTTGTTATTTTGTGTTTTATTTTATAAATTTAACTAGTAGTTGAACAAAAGCAATAAAAGATTTTTTATAATAAGTTGATTAAATACAATTTTATATACCATGTAACAACTTTTCTTTCTTCTTCTGAAATAATTGGTCTTTCTACTGGATCTTTTGATCGTTGCATAGGATACAATGCAGCAACTGCCTCCCTTGTGACATTGTTTGAAAATGATACACCTAAACACAGTAAAAAGTTATATTATTAAAAAAAGTTTAATTAAAAAAAAATTATTGTATAATCATTTTTTTTAATTAAATCTATAAATGGTGTGTTAAATAAAAATATTAATAAAAATTAAAAACAAAACTGTTGATGTAAAAATAATTTAAAATAACTTAATATATTATAATTTGCAATGCCAATAAATATGTAAAAGCAAGCAATGCTTTTTAGCAAGAGACACAAGTTTAACCCCCTGCACATCTCTGATAGTAACATGCTTAACTTGTTTCTGCTTGTAGCCAGCTTGCTCATTTTCTACTTTATATAAAGGATACAACTAATTTTTATAACTTTAATTCTTAGAACTTTTATTTTGATAAAATGATTAAAAAAATAGAAGAAACAAAAAATAATGAAAAATATATATAAATATTTTTTGCAGTAACTTCTTTTAGTAATTTATCTTTTTTTTATCATTACCCTAAACCCTCAGTTTATGTATGTACTTAAAACTCACAGCTCACTAATTAAGTATGTCAGCTTTTGTGTTTAATACTTTTTAGTACAATAGTTGTTAATTTAAATGTTTATGTACAAATGTTTATGTTGTTTAAAAGATTGTGTACATACATATATAAATGGGTCATTTTGAGTCATTTCTATATGTAATCATTCTGAATATAAAAACCTTCTAAAACGTCATTTTTACTTTACATGTAGTCTGCAACAAATAAATGGTAATTGAGAAAATTTCTAAAACACACATCTGTTTTTGAGATATTGTCCATTTGAAATAATATTAAGTTTAATTTATATCATTATTTTATCTTGGACCTAATGAAAAAAAAAAACTAGACTCTGATTTGTTATTTAATAATCAAATCATCCATTCAAAAATAACATCAGCATTTTAAAAGACATTAAAATGTTTTGAAAATATAATATTATTTAGTGACTAGTTCCTGGCTATTCTAGACTGTTTTCAACAGAGCCAATTGTATTTGGGCGCCGCCTAAATTCAGAAATTGAAGACTTTTTTTTAAAAAGGAAATATTATTTTTTTGCAAAATAATTCCTACATACCGCCAAATTTCCTTACAGCAGATGCCAACACAAGGGGTAACACTACCCAAATTATTTTATTGCTTTCCTAAGTTTCTTTGTATATCTGGTATCTAATAATGCAGAAAGTTCTATCTTCCCAATTGCAGTTGAGAGGCAATTAAGATCCTCAACGCTTATAAGTGTTAATATATCTTTGGATTCATTAATACCTAATGATCTATTTGCAGGCCTTGCTTTAAAGAGTTATGCGTAGAGCGATTTATGTACACCTTAAGCGATTTTACCTAAGCAGTAAGCAATTTTGGTTAAGCAACTTTTATCATTTTTTAACTTTTAAATTATTTTATAAGCGGTAAGATAAAAAAAGTAATAAATTTAAAAAAAAAAAAAAAACATTAACTTTTGAATGATGATTATGTTAAAATATTTGTTACAAAAGTTTGAATGACAATCATGTAAGATGTTGTTTATAGTGTTTCCAATACCGATAGTACCGATACCGGTATACCGGTACTACCGGACTTTTTCAAGTACCGAAATACCGGTATTGGTTTGGCTCAATACCGGTATTAAAAATATATGTAGAGGGCTTGTGATATAGCAGATGGAAAAAACCCTCTTTTCCGAAAATGCAAAATTAAATGATATATTTAAAACTTTCAGTCGTGATAAACAACGCTCCTGGTGGGATAAAGATAGCTAAATGACAAAAAATGTGTTTAAAACGTGTAAAACACATATTACTAACTATATTACTTCTTTAACGCTTCTTTTATCCATAGGTAGCGACTAGCTAGATATTTGCTGGCTATTCGTTAGCTCATTTCCCACTGGGCTTGTTCATCTTGTAATGAGAGTATAAAATCAGACTCGCTAAAGAGTTTGGAATGGAGAAAATAATAAGTTGTTTGATTGAATTTTTATAAAAAAAAATTATTGTTAAAAATATTTAATTAAAGATAAAACTTGTTTAATTTCAAAGTAAAATTTTGTCTTCTTTCTATTAATAAAGCACTGATTTAAAATATTATCATTGCGTCACTTGCTTTAATGTAGATCCCATGCTTGAGTTTTGCACTAACGTAAATATGAAAAGTTTGAAATCGTTACAGTTGAGAACATTTTTAATTTAGTAAAAATGTCAAGATGATAGATTATAAATTGTTTTTCATGGTGTAACTTATAAATGTAAAGTTATAGAATTAACAGCAATTATAGCTACGCTTACTTAACTTTATGCATTTTGAATTAAGAATTAAAAATCAAGATTTTATGTCAAATAGATAGAATTACCTTAATATCCAGAAAACATCCTAAAAAGGATTCAAACCGTTCAGCACTGTACAAGTTGATGAAAGTTCTGCATGTTTTACTTTCTGCTTGATAAAAAAAATTAACTTGCAATGTGTAAAGAAGTGCAAAAAAGAGATAAAATCAAATGGTGGAGTACCAGTGTACTGAATACACATCTAAAAACTAAACATGAAACCGACTAGCTGAATAGGAAATTGTCCCATGATGCAGTATCACCATTGGGTTTTTTTTATTGGTACCATTATCAATGGACAAAAAATCCAAACCTCTGATCACCAATTTCTTTGTAATCAACGCGACAATTCGTTGTTCTTAATTTTTTTTGGTTTAACACCCTTTATGTTGGAATCTTGGATTAGCGAGAGTTGTTGGTTCGTAGCTTGCTTAAAAATGCATTGATTTAGTTCAAAAATTGTTGACATTTTATGTTGAATATTTATAGCTCAAGTACTACACCTTTTTTGGATCAATTTAAAAAGAATACGAATCAATTTAAAAGGAATACGAATCAATATAAAAGAAATACGAATCAATTTAAAAGAAATACGAATCAATTTAAAAGAAATACTAATTTAAATTGATTCGTATTCCTTTTAAATTGATTCGTATTTCTTTTAAATTGATTCGTATTTCTTTTAAATTGATTCGTATTTCTTTTAAATTGATCCAGAAAAAATGTAGTGTTGTTTTTAAAATAAAATAAAGATAAGTTGGGCTTTTAAAGAGTTTATTTACTGATCGCGTTATTTTTAATAGGTTTGAATTTTGGTTTGTTCAAGGACGTATTATTAATACATCCTTGGTTTGTTTTATAAAAAAAAATTCTTCGGCAAACGACAAAGGGAAAACCCAAACATAACATTTATAACTCGAGTTTAAAAGTATTGACGTCATTTATTAACTTGTAGTTATAAAATGAATAATGCGCTTCTGTAAATAATGAATGAAACTGTAAAATAATGGAAAAATAAAAACTGGAAAATAATGCGCTTTTGTTAAGCGCATCTTTGAGACCAGTATTTGGAACTTACCTGAAACTTAACTAAAATTAAAATAAAGTTATATGTAATACGAACATTTTAAAGTAACTTGAATTAAATTTATTAAATCTTTTTTTACTTTGGTAATTTTATCATAAAAAAAACGGAGCATTTTAAAATTAAAAAATTTTAAAATGCTCTGTTTTAAAATTAAATGAAAGAATTTTAATTAAATTTAATAAATTTATTTACTAAAAACTATAATTATTAAAAAAATATTTAAATAAAATAAAATAAATTGAAAATATTTCATTTTTTAAATTTGATTGTTTATAAACTTATGAAATCTAATATTTAAAATTAAATATGATGAAAAGTTTAAACTTAAAACACTTTATTTTCTTTAAGTAATTTTTAAAAACAAAAAAAAAAATTATTAAACAAATTGTTTCTTTAACAAAAAATCTATTAGTTTACAATTGCGGTTAAATGCTTTTACTTACGACTTTAATACTTCTGAATGAACGTCACATAAACGATATAAAAAGATAATTTAAATATTCTAAAAGATAAAAGTTTTTGCGTAACGCATAACTGCTGAACGCGTAGGCAAATCGCCTTTTCGCAGGCAAAATGCGAGCTGCGTAACGCTTCTTAACAAGGCCTGCTATACTGACTCAGGATTGGTTGGGAAACGGGTGCGATCGCGCTCGATAATTGACCACGGAAATAATACTTAGTTGCGAAAAACCGGCCAGATTTTATAGTTGTTTTGAGAACATTTCAAAAACAAACAAAAAAGTGCAATAAGATTAACTGGACCAATGAGAGACAGTTAAAAAAAGGAAAATAGCTTTTAACGCAAAATAAATTTATTAGAGCAATTATTTTTGAAACGCCGCTCTTTTATAATTTTTTTTATAAAATTAAGCGACATTTTTTTATATAAAGTAACAACTATAAAGAAACAAATGTTCTTCGATTTATCAGAGTATATATAATTTTTATTTATATACTTATGCCTTATTTCCAGTTGCGGATTGAGGAGGTGGGGTGGGGATAGTAGGGCTATAGCCCTGGGACTCATAATGTTAGGGGAAATAGTCAAGAGGACCATTCGCTATTTTTTTAGTCATTTTTACGCTGTGGCACATAAAAAAGGCTGCCAAAATAATGCAGCCCCCGGCCCTGAGAAGTCCAACAAGATTCAACCAATAAAACTAATGCTAGATGATTTATTTATAAATAAAAAAGTTTTTTCAATAACTGTTTTATGCTTCGTGTAGTTTAAAAAGTTTAACACATTTGAAACAATTCTTCTTAGTAAGATAAACAAATGAAATAATTAAATCATTGAGTTACTCTATAAATTCAATTAGCTAGATAGAAATTAACTAAGAACGTTAAATTACTTTGTGAGGAGGAAGCGGAATTGCTTCACAATAACGCTGATGATGTTTAGTGAGTGGGCTTTATAATTTTAATTACTATTTAAAACAGAAAAAAGTAACTTTAAGTATAACGAGTTTGTAAGAATGGCTGAAGCAAAAATAATTGAAGTTAGTAAACCAATTTCTAAGAACTTAAAAACTTTTCTTTCTTGGGGGAAAGAATCAGTTATCGGTTACACTAAGGAAAATGGATTAGTGGTTAAA